CATGAGTTCCACGTGTCCTCTCGGCTGAGACCCGGTGGGCCTCCAAACCCACCCTCCTGCAGCCTCCGCCTCACCCAACCCTGCCAGCACCCCCGTGGCAAGGAGCAGCCACCTGGGGATAGGGAAACCCAGCACCAGGCTCCCTCCAGCAGCCCCTGGCCACTGGGCAGAGGTCAGAGGCCACCGGGCAGAGGTCAGAGCCCGCCGGAAGGGGCCATTCCCAAGTTAGGGAGCCCCCATGGTGATGAACCTCTTCCCTACCTTTCAGGACATGCAGTGAGGTTCCCTGCTTCAGGTCCCAGATGCGCATGGACCCATCCTCGTAGCCCACCACCGCTCGCTTCCCTGGATGAGACAGAGGTCCCCTCATCCCTTCAGCTCCAGCTCAGCACAGACTGGCAGAAGCAGGAGGGCAGATGCTGGCAGCGAGATCTGTCACAGAGCTGGTGACATTCTCCACCCCGGACAGCCCCTGTGCCTCACCGTCGGGCAGGATCCTGCCGCACGTGGCCGGGCACGCAGGGCCCTGGAAGGTTTTGCAGTCGCCGCTGGGGATCTTCCACATCCAGGAGTTGCCATCAGCCGTGCCCGCCAGAAGGACGTGGGCTTGAGGGTGCCACTCCATCCACTGGGCAGACAGGGACAGGCAGTGTCACCGGGGTGGCGTGTCCCCCTCCACCCAGCTCAGTCCCAGCTGCTGGCCCACGAGCTCCCCGCAGCACCAGTGGTTCCGCTGCTCACCTCCAAGTCCCCCACCTCGAAGGACCACACTTCCTCCTTGGCATCCACCCGCCACACTTTGATAAGCCCAGACATGTCGCCCGTGGCCACAAACACAGAGTCGTGACTGAATCCAGCACAGGTGACCGAATCCTTGTGTCCTAGAGATGTTGGGGGACAGAGACTGCTCAGGCCAAGCTACGGAGGACGGTCAAGAGCCTGGCTCCAGCAGAGCATCGGCTGGGGAAGAGTGTATCCAGAGAGATGTGGCTGGGAGGGGACACGGCCGCTCACCTGGATGGCCTCGAGCACCCCACCTGAGCATTCGAACAGGAGCTCTCCGTCGCTCACACGCCAGACGAAAGCCTTGTCATCCTCCCCGCCTGTCACTGCCAGCGTGTTGGTCTTGGGGTCAAGGCTCACACAGAAAACAGAAGCTTCACAGAAGAGAAGAGAGAGGCGACATGGCTCAGATACCACTCACACCCCACCCGATGTTCCCAGGGAATCCAAACCCATCGCAACGCCAAGTCTGGGTGAGCTGAATTCCCAACCCAAACCGATTCTTCCTGCGGGGGGAGAGCGGCGCAGGCTGGCTGCCAAGCTCAGGGCCCGTTGCCGCAGTAGGGGCTCAAGATGCTTCTCTACCGGAGCACAAGTTAGAAACAAGCAAAGCCCCAAAGCACCAGAGCCCCGACTCCTGCAAGCTCTCCTGGGAACGGCCAAGAGGACCTGCTGCAGCCCCTTCCTCTGGGGAAAGCCAGGGTGGGAGGAGGTCCCAAGGGGGACCCC